GGTTGTCTCTTCTACGGAGTCTAGGAACGCCAAAGCAAACAGATGAGCTTTTAAACTAGATTTTAAACTAGAAATGTAGTCATTTGATAAATTGTTGCCGTGGAAACAGTGATTAGTGCAGCTCTAGTTTAAAGTCGTTAGTCTTTGTTTCATGATTTTTTAATGTAACAATATGTTTAATTAGTCCTGATTTATTCAAAACAGGACTTTTACGTTGTAGCTGCTTCTAGTGGAACTGAGTGAGTAATTTATACTCAGATGGATCATTTCCTCTAAAACAATGTTTCATTATTTTATTTATCACGAAAAAACTCTCTCTGCACATGTTTGATTACTTTAACTTTAGCTGTCATTAAATGAAGAATATGCGACATGTTCCACATAAATAAATCATAAATCCAGTCTATCCTGTGTAAATTTGTCTGAGTCATGACTGTCTACAATGAGTGAGAAGCTCGAGTCCCGCTGGCTGTGTTGTTGTTAGAGCCTTGTTTACAAGGAAGAGGCTTCATCAACAAGTAGCGTATAGGAGAAACTAATCTGACATTGTTTTCATGTTTTCTTGGTTATATTTCCTACATTTCCAACGGCCACTACCATGATACGCATGAGTCAACTTTAGTAACCTAGCAACAGTAACTTTAAGTAACCTAGCAACAGTAAGCTCTAGCAATAACCATTTTGAAACTGAGGTTTCTGGGCGCTGCCAGCCCCCCACCCCAAGATCTGTTAAAGGACACCGGCCCTTATTGAACATTCCTTTAGAAAACATTATTGTTTTTCATTTTGAACCTCTGTGTGTGAGCTGAGAGCTTAAAGGAAGATGCAGGATAATAATAACGAGGAAGTGAGGATCCCACCTGCTGTACTGTAACATTTGCCTTGCCTTTAAGCTTTACTTCCTACATCACATCACCATCCATCAAACACACTGTGAAAGTTTTAAACTCTGACATGACGGAGCAGTCTGAGCCTAAATTAAATCAGTTTCTAGAAATTGATTCCAGCTGCTGGCAGAACAAAAAAGAAAAAAAAGGTTGTGAATTTACAAAATGTTGCAGGTGGCGACAGCAGGAGACGACACAACTTTAATTTTGTGGCTTTTGTTGAACATAATGGTTTGCTGTTGTTGCCGGGTGGCAAATCAAAACCTATTTAACGTCACTATTGTTTGGTAATGAGACGCTGTGACTCTGCTGCTGCTGCGGCCGTCAGACTGCTTGTGCGTTCAGTCATTTTTTTTTACATTTCCGACAGGTAAGATGAAGCTTTCTCTCTGCTGGTTCTAAAAACAAACATGTCATTCATCGTGCTTTAAATAATAGAGAACAGCGCCTTTTTTATAATCCTGCAGGGGAGCCATATGGAGAATGCATCCCCATCTCCTTCTGTTTTACTAAATTGAAGCCACTTGATTCAGACTGTAATCAATCAATCATTATTTGTAAAGCGCCAATTAATAACAAATGTTATCTCAAGACGCTTTACAAAAGAGCATATGGGATAAGTTGCAGGAAGGGTTTCTCCGTTCTTGTTGTCCACACTTCCTTGCTGCTGAGGTGGAGGTCGGACCAGGAAGTGCATGAATGAGGACGGTGGTGGTTGTGGGGACGGCACAGTCCGATGGTGGAGGCTGGGCGTCAAGGACTTTTGTGAGAAAGCTCTGACATTCACATAGTGTGAATGTGCTTTTCATGCATTATAAGTGATAGGTTCATGTAAAGTGTTACCGCAAATAAAAAACTAATTCCCAACAACAATCACCGATGGAAGTAGCTTTCACTCGGCCTGGTGGGCAGAGGTGATCATTCTAGTTCTACTTAACTTCAAATTCAATCGGAGCACTCCCAGTCTGTCCATCACTCATTTCTGTGATGCATAAAATGTGTCCTTAAAGGCTTTATATGTGAATTTTTACACTTAAATATAATATAAATCAAGTATATCCTCTGAAAATAACTCTGTGAGTCATGACTGTCTACAATGGGTGTAACACCCGAGTCCCACTGTCTGTGATGTTTTCAGAGTTTTCAGAGTCCTATCTTCAGTTTGTTTACATCGTCGGGACGGCCGGCTGACTCCTCCCCTCGTGTATAAAAGTTGTTTAATTGAGGGACTAGAGAAAAGAAGAATAACATACTGTACTCACTGCTTAACTGTGTTTCTAGATCACGCTCATTTCAGGTAAATTTACATGCAGTGTGAAGATACCAGCAGAATAAAGATCGCTAGCATTAGCATGCTAACACATTAATGCAGCGCGAGTTGTTTTGGTTTCATGCTGGTGCTCAAGGACGACACCTGCTGGATCAAAAAATCACATATAAAGCCTTTAAAGAAAAGGTTTTCAATCAGTCTGTTTCTTTTTTTAAATTCACCCCTCCAGTCGTTCTCTCAGTCGTGTGTAATGACGAGCATTTTGATTCATTTCCACGTTTCCTCGCTCTTGCAGCATCTGGAGAACCTTCAGCAGATTTTTTTTGCTGGTTTGTGTTTATTGAGCTCTCCCGCCCCTGACCGTGTGAGCTCCTCATATTTAACTAAAGACAGAATCCTGCCAGCTATAGAGGGGGCAGCCCTTGGTTTTCACTGAGTAAATGAAGAAAAAAATTCATCGGCATAATTCACATCATTCTGACCTTACATTAAATCAATCGCCTGCATCAAACCAAATATTGAATAAATAACCTTCATCCAGGTTATTAATAAAAGCATGAAAGACTGAATCCACTATGAAGGACCCAGCTTAGATAACTGTCCTGTTAGCTAAAGCTCGAGAGAGAGAAACACAGAGACGCTTAAAACAATATGAATCAAAGCTCAAACGTCAGGGCTGTTGTTTAAAAATATCAAATCTAGCCTCAGGTAACGAGAAGAAACATTTTCATGACCTGGGTCAGTACTTTCTCGACAGGAGAAGCCAGACTCTCGAGTAGACGGAGTTCCCCCCAACCTTCAGCGAGCATTACTACCACCCGACATCCCCGACGCCCAGTCACCACCATCGGACTGAGTCGTCCCCTCAACCACCGATTTATTGAACCCTCCTGATCATAATAATCCACCAAACTGAGTCCCCATGATTTAAATCAAGTAACAGATCATTAGATCCATAACAATCCACAAAACTGTTTAAAAGAAACTCCATTATTCCGCTGACCATTATTTGACACTTGTTAGCGGCCTATAACAGCCAATGAGAGTCTTTGTTGAAAGGAGGTGCCGCCCCCTCTTCTGACGGCCAATTGCACGCAACTGTGCCAATGACTTTTTTTACTTTTATTCACCAAAACATGAATATACACATTCACACAATAAAAAAAAGAGATACAAAAAAGAGGGGAACTGTGGTACAATACAGTTTTGCAAGCAGATTTAGACAAAAACAAACAAACAAACAAACAAAAGAATTAGAAAGAGGGACAAAATAAGTAACTGAGCAAACAACATGGGAAAAACTGTGCCAATGACTGACATCCCTTGTAGCCTGTGAAATTCTCCAAACATGGACATGCTGCTTCTATCAATACTAAGTCATCTTTAAACTTCAGCGCCTTCCCAGAGTTAATGCTGCTTCAAGTGTCCGTTTATATTTTATGCATCAGATCTTTATTTAAAATAAAAGAACAGCATATTTCCTAACACAGTGGTAAGCTGTTGTTGAAAGTTCCCAAAAAACTGTGACTCCAAAAACTTTGTCAGTGTGAAGAGTTAATTGTGCCTTTACATCGGGGAACATGGTTCTCACAACGGTTCTCACAGCTGCTGTTCTCTGCCCTCCGGCAACTTGGGGCAGTAATGAGCCCAACAGGGGGTTGGTGCAACAAGATGAAGACAACCCCGCACTTCAAAACATAAGTTAGAGGCAAGCAACTAAGACTTGAGATTTAAGGCTTTATGTGCGGACAAACCACTAAAACTCTTCTGTTTTACACTCAAAGTGTTCTACTCAGATATTTAAAAAGTTCTAAATAAAAAGTGAGTCCAGGTTAATCCAGAGCTTCTCAAACTGTGGGGCAATTATTTATAGATAGATAGTTACAAACTAAACATGTCTGCCAGTGTCCCAAAGATTACTCCTCTACCTCTTTTATCCTGTTGGCAAAACCATTTTTCTTGAGGTTTCCTTGTGTGCGACTAAAGTCTGATTTTTTGGACGGATGTTTTTTGAAGGTTTATTTTGGGGCTTTTTATGCTTTTACTAGACTGTGGATTGAGTCAGAAATCAGAGACAGAAAGATGCAGCAAAGAGCGCTTCATCAGCGACTAGTCAACATCGACTCGTCTATTATCACAAGTGTCTACTTAAAGAAATCTGACGTCGGCAACGCCTACCACATGGATTTCTGCAACTACCAGTCATTGCAAAACTTTAAGTGTCATAAATTGGTCGGTTATCGTAAAATTCACCACTGGAAAATTGGGCATTTTAACATGGGGCCTAATTGGGATTGACTCCCTATTGGAGCCAGCCTCAAGTGGCCACTGCAGGTACTGCATGAACTAACCACTAGGCCACCAGTGCCCCATGCCGAACTTACTATTAACTTTGGAAATCCAGGCTTTAACGATGGAAACATCCAATGGGGAATATCACTTCTATCAAGGCTGTTTGAATCAAATGATGGTGTTTCAGACTCAGTCAGTGTGTTTGGTGTCAACAGGTGATTTCTTTGCACTTTGAAACTTTCCGTCCAAAGAGAGGGTACAGTCACGCACTCAGCCGCCTGATGACTCACCCTGAGAGGTTGAGTTGTCCTCGTATACCATGACCACATTGTAATTACAGTCCCCCCAGAGCATAATTATAAAGTGACCAATCACATTATAAAGAGCCGTACGGGGACATTAAAAAAAAAAAAGGCTAAAGGAAAGTCGAGGTGATGGCTGATGTGAAAAGTTTTTCCATTTTCACCCTCAGATGGCGAGAACTTGAGTGGATCTATTAAACTGTCACTCACGTCTTTATTTTTTTTAAACTCTGATGTTTTGTGTTCTAGAAAACGCCATCCAGGCCTTCGGGAACGGGTCCGACGTGAAAACCGGTCAGCCCGGGATGCCCAGTCCAGCCACAGACAACCAGGGCCCGTACCCAGCGACTACCGCCCCAGGCGTCGCCATGGAAACAGAGCAGAACATCCTGAGAGCACAGATACCTACCCAGGTGAGACAGGATGGAAGACTGAAAAATGTGATGTCCGGTTTGCCAAACAGAGAGGAGAACTAATGGAAGACAGGCAGGAAGTGGGTCGCTCTGCTGCAGATAACTTGGGGTGTTTGTTTTTTCCTGCGGGGAGCGGCAGACGGGTGGGATTAACATTATCTGAATATTTGACACGCACAAAATCAAAACGTGCCTGTTTGCTGCCAGCTTATTCAAGGATCCACATTTCAGATTTTTAAATGTTTGCATTATGACATTTGAATTTAAATCAAACTCAAATGAGTCAACTTTAAAAGTCAGGGTTTCTTGAGAGGTGCTTTTGTGCAAAGTGACAATCAGAGCGAGCTAAATCAAAGAAAAAGCATCAAGTCTCAACGGCCCACAGCTCAGGTTTAATATCTGAGGATACATTCCCACATTTCTTTGATTTAATTGAACATTTCAGTCTGGTGTTGACATGCTCCAAAGCATGTGCAAGCAGTGTAATATGCAGAACGTATGAATAATATATCATGCATGCCTCCTCCTTAAGGAGCACCTTTCATCACCAACCTCTTCATCTCTTTTGCACATGTTAAAACGTTTTATTTTCTGTCATGGTGAGTTCTGTAAAACAAACATCAAACAACAGCAGATAAACAGAGACGACAACCATGCAACAAGAAGTTCTCTGCTGAATGTGCACAGAGTTTACCTTTAATACATGGTACATAAATGTATGCTGTTTTTACATATGCATGTACAAAGAAACAGGGTTTGCTATATGATGCTATAATGAGAATAGTCACCTTTATATCAATGCTATGTGTAGATCGAGAGCAACAATATCAACCAAAGAGTGGAGAAGAACATACTGGAGAACAGAATACGTTGGAAAGGAGCCACAGGTCGTATCCGAACCTGGGCCCCCCAACCGGTGGACAGCAGCCTCTGCACATTCGACTAAACACCAGACTACCAGTGCCCACAGCAATAAACATTTTGTTCAATAAATAACTTTGTAATTTTGATACCACAAGTATTTGCATCACCTTATAAAGTTGAGCTCTAAATATGTGACAAGGTTTTCATATCTAACAGCGACCTTATCCTATACAACATGAAAACAAGATTTTAAAGGGTATCACTAGAAGCACGTAGAGGTCAAAGGTACTGCATTTGTGTGGTGTGTCAAACCCAAGCAGCAACCTCTGGTCTTGAAAAATGAAGCAAATGTGGAAGTGCAAAATCCTGCAGTTCGTCGAGTGTCCACTAGAGGCTGGCTGCAGGAACACAGGAAGTCACATACACACTCAACAGGCAAAAAAGTTGTTTTTACAGCATAAATAAACATGTTTACAGCCTGGTACAAAAAGGTCTGATTAGCTATTGTCATCACTGGCACACACTGTATGGGGTGTTTTTTATTTTTTTTAAACGGCTCTGTTTTGATTTTGAAAACGATATGTGTTATCCATAGATGATTGACAGGTGGGCTCGATGTAACGATTCGTCTTAAAATCCGCCTCAGCTCCAGCTCTCAGCCTGTCGTTAGGTTGACTGAAAGTTAGACTGAGACAGGATTTCCAACATGGCGGCTGCTGCTGATGAGCCTCTGGAGCCCCCTGCAGGAACAGATGGGTGACGTTACTCAGGCTCCGCCCATTAATATTTACAGTCTATGTATATAAGGTCAGTGCAATGTTCAGGCTCTGCTGCGCTCTATAGACTAACCTCATGAGTGTTTATCATGTCGAGGAGCGAGTGAATGAAGCAGCCTTTGAAGCTGTAAGATTGGATGTAACGTTATTGATCCCAGAGGGTTCATTAGATGTGTGCAGCAGTAAGAGGATTCAGGACCCAAAGTGGAGCATAAAACAAACACCGTAATGAGAATAACAGAGTTGAGACGATTAAGAACGAGCAAGCCAGAGTGAATGTAAACACACTTGTCTTATATAAGCTCATAGCTATTGGTCGTTTAAATATTATAGCAGGACTTTACTGGAGGGGGGAAATTATAGAACGAGAACAGATGAGAAAATGATGGATGACACACTTCAATATAAATGTTGTTTTCATAGTGATTGCATATGTAAACATGGATCCTCTTAGCGTAAAATATTCAATGTTCTGCATATAAATCTTAGAATAAGCATGACATTAAAAGCAAAGTCTGCACAACCATCTGTGATGAATTATTGGAATCTGCAACAGCCTGCGTAGAATCCTTAGAATATTAATGGATAAAGCCTGAGTGACGTCACCCGTCTGTTCCTGCAGGGGACGTTGGAGTCCCATCGATGGCGGTCTCTATGCTGGAAATGCTGACTCGGCCTAACTTTCAGTCGACTTAACGACAAGCTGAAAGCTGGAACTGAGGCAGGGTTTAAGCCTCTTGATGAACGGTTACACCGCGCCCACCTGTCAATCATGTCAGCTACACGCCTATCTATGGATAACACTTATCGATCAGAAAATCAAAACGGATGCGTTGTAAAAAAAAAATCACCCCCCTGTACAGTGTGTGCCGATCGAGACATGAGCTAACCAGACTAATGTAGTTTTTTGAACCAGGCTGTAAACATGTTAAATTCTGCTGTAAAAACAGCCTTTTTAGAATGGGTGTGTATGTGACTTCCTGTGCTTCTGCAGCCAGCCTCTAGTGGACACTCAAGAAACTGCAGTTTTTTGCACTTTCAAGATTCAAATTAAAGATTTGTATTTGTCACATGCTCATTTAGATGTGCAGTGAACTGTTCCACATCGGCTTTGTTTTTCAACACTGGAGGATGCTGCTTGGTAGAAACATCAGTGTTGAGTTTATGTCAGGGGTCTTCAGGGTATTCTGGACGATGTTGCTGTTTTTCATACCTCTAATTCAGACGGCTCGGCTTTCATTTCTTGTCTAATTAGACTCGGTATCTCAAAGTTTTACATGTTGTGAAAGCCGTGAGAGGAAAATGTAAAAACCAATCACATGACATCTACTGGATCAAAAAGTCTCACATTTGTCCTTTTGGACTTGTGGATAAATGTTCATAATTGGGGGCGTGGCTGAGTTGATGGCGATGTTGGTGCTTTGTAGCTGTTTGTCAGGAGGTTTAAGGCCGGTCTCAGCTTCACTTCTTCACCTGTTTCTAGATTGACAGACAGTTATGTCGAGTCAGCATTTTATTTTCAATGGTGACCGCCATCTTTGGGCTTTAAAACTCGTCTAGGGTGATGTCACTGAGACTTTGTTTCATACAGTCTGTGGTGTGAACACCTCAGCTGTCTCATATTCATAGTTCAGTTTAAACAGGTTCAGTAAACATCATTAATGAGTTCCTTACAGTGAACAAGTCGAGCAAACACAATTAAACTCTGTTGATCATAAATTATCATGTGGATGGGGCTGTTTAGCAGGAAACATACACACATATTAATAACAGGGACAAATGTGTAAATAATTTAAATCACTCCAGGCAAAGAAAATGTGCTCCTTTATATTTTCTCCTAATGGGACCAGAAGAAGAATGCAGCAGATAACATTATTGACAATGTGCCAACAGATAGAATAAACTTCCCAGGCTGAGCGTATAACTAGGCCACTTTGTGATTTCCACAGGGAGAGCTGAAGAAAAAACGGCCAAAAGCCCAAATTACGTATTCTCGCCTCGGGTCCCTGAAAGCCTCGACCCACGCACAATGATTTCAGCAGCCTGTAGCGTGATATTTTGGAAAAGTAAACAGGGAGATGACACTTTGTTCAACATGGAGGTTTCTTTACCTGATGGTGCAGGATCAGATAAAGAGTCACTGAGTCGACACCAGAGATAATTAAACCCCTTAATGAGCTCCAGTCAGCTGTCGTCTCTTCACACGCACCAACATCCAGACGCATTTCCTGTGAAATGGCCAATCAAAGTCTTTACTTTAGCCAGCTGAAGGTGAGGAGTTGACATATTGTTTGATAAAGCACGCACAGAGACACCGGCTGTCTCTGTCAAAAATGATAAACTCCAGTTGACTTTTCCAGTAAAATAAAAACACAAGAAGTCATCTGATTGAACAGAGATGCGGTCGGAAAACTGTCGCTCACTGCCGTTTAACCAACAAACAAATGCAAGTCACATGTTGTGCTAAACACTTCTCCATGTTCCTCTAACTCTAACATGTGTCTCTAGTCCGTCTACAAACCCCCCAATTATGAGAAAAGTCCATCCTCTCCATCTTCTGCCTGCTCCACTTTTCAGAAAATGTGTGCTCAAACAGGCCGTTTGGAGATTTTCCCTTCATGACATCACAAGGGCAGTAGCCCCTCCCCCAGGTGGGTGACACTCCCACAGCTAGGTGTTTGTTCTGCCCTCTGAGTCTGCCTTCTCACCTTAAAAACAATAGGACATGGAGCGAGAAAGCACCGAGTACACTCAAGCCCTTCCAGAGAGGGGGCGTGGTCAGACACAGCTCATTTACATATTTAAAGGTACAGACACAGAAACAGCCTGTTCTGAGCAGGGCTGAAATAGAGGGGTTTATAGACATGATCAAATACAGGATCAGAGTGGATTTAGAACAAGGCACTTCACACACATGTTTTGAGGAGCTCTGAGACTTATTTAAACTGAAGAAGAAGAAGAAGAGGAGGAGAATATGTGACCTTTAATGATGTATCTTTAACAATCAAACAATTATTTTGTATTCACGATTTTGTTTCCATTTCATGTTTTTAAGTCTTTTCTTCTTTTCAATTTTCACTCGTTTTTAATTTGTAATATTTCTGAGAGAGATTATCTCCTGTGAGGAATAGAAGTCCCTCAAGGTAAAAGATATCTGGGGGGAAAAATGGTGTTCAGCATTTTAGAATCCAATTTTCACCTTGGTTTTGAATCAGAGATAATTTTCAATCCAATTTTCACCTAGACTTAGAAACAGATGAGTCCACCAGCTCATTTTAGATTTGCTCTGACAAATGAGTCTAATCCAAGATTTACATCCAGTCTGTCCAGTCATAACCTCTCTTTACAGATTCTACATAAAAACATCTGGAATTTCAGTCATAGGTAGAATTATCTTTCCGTTTTGTAGTGCGTTTGTGGTCCGAGCTGTTTTGACCAATTACATTTCAATAGTACTCAGAGTGTGCAGGAAACACGGTTCATATAGAAACCAAAAGCAGTCAGAACGCACCCTGGAATACAATGTACTGTCTCATCGACGGTAGTCTGAAAATGATTTATTTGTCTCCTTAAACAGATATCTGCATAACAGTGCAGCTAACAATCCACGATAGATCAACCATTTCAACTCCCTAGAGTGGATGCTCACTCAGGTCACCATGTGGTGGACTCTGAAGCTTCAGTGTTTATCCAGCTCTGCATGGGTCTGTAAACCTTTCTGTGTTCTAACCTCTCTCCATTTTTCAAAAGCATCTCCAATATTGATCCTAGTTTGAGCACGTTTCTGCTCGTGGAGCTTATTAGAAACATGCAGAGGCTTTTTAGGTCGGGTACAATCACTTCTATCTGAACCACTTCTCTTGACCGCTTCCATCGCTGCAACACCTGTTGACCTGATAACTGCTCTCATATCTGGCAAACAGAGGGGCGTCCAAAACGACCGTGTGGGGGGTCGCCTTGAAAGCGCCTACCTTCTCTGGTCCAAACAAATCCAGAGCATTCAGGAGCAGAATCTAAAGTTAGAAGGAGGACATACTGGCTGCTGCATTGTTGTCAGAGAAGCCAGCACTTCAACATAGCATGTTTCCTTAATGATCAGATAGTAAGCTCACTTTATCATTTCACTCACTACACATCTCACTGATTGGAGCTTTAATACACATTAATTGCAATTAAATCTCAAGATTTCAGGTTTATACACCCAAAGTGAGCCCACATGTAACTGTTATCTCCTGTTGAACTGAGAAAGTAACATCAAAACATTTAACCAAATATAACAAACAAACATTCAAATACATATATTCTCATCAAATCTTGCAGAAGTAGTTTGATGTCCTTGTCTACATTTACATACACAGTGAGAATCTCACTGTGGAGGATTGTTTTTCCACATTCAAATGATTTGCAAGGCAAAGACACCAAATGATATCGATGTCTGATGGGCTCAAGGATGTGAAGGACAGTGGTGAAAGGAAGAAAAGAGGAATATGTAGAGAAGTGGAGCACTGACTGAAGAGTTTATTCTGAGTACTTTTGAACGTCAAGCAGACAAATTGTGTCTTGCTGATGAGTGGCAACGTCCTTCATCACTCGCTTTATTTTTCAGCCGTGTCTGGGGAATATTCAGCCGCCATCACCATCATTATAACACTCCCTTTTCAATCATATTGTTGGTGTTTTGTCTGAACAGATAATATTGTTTCCTTCTTCTCCCAAGGCTGAGCATGCACTGGGAGCTTTCAGGCCGTTACTGACCTGGGGGTGCAGGAGGGCCAATCATATCCCGATCTGAGCTCCATGGGGGTTTGATGAATTTCCCGCATGTTGCATACTCACACAGTGGAAGCAGAGCCATGATCTGAGCCTCCGATTTAGGGACTTTTTTTTACCTAATTGCTGCAGCTGCACAAACAGTCAGACGGTGTCTGATATCACCATGGCAACAGCAAGAATGCCTGTTTGATGTGTCTCTCTCCCTTCCTATCACAGCACATACAAAACAAGAGACAAGTTTGCAGGAAATATCTGCAGACTACAGTTTAGTTGGAGTGATGCAATATGTGAGCACAGACTCTGCACAGACTCAGACTGTTGCCCCTGAAGAAGCTCACAATCTTACAGTGGCTAAAAGAAAAGGATGACCTATGTCGACATGTGTCTGCTTTTTTTCAGGTAAACGAGAACGACAGATTGTGGGACGACGAGGAAGACTCCACCCTCCCCTCTCCGGGCCTGTCAGACCGCGGAGCCGAGCCCGTCCGCCTGTCCCTGCTGCTGATGCCGGGCTTTGTTTGCCTGTTTGTGCTGATTCTCTCCAACCAATAGGAGGCCTCGCTCAACCTGGCCTCCATGGACAAAACTCCAGACCTGGGGGAGGAGGGTGGGTTAGAGGGAGAGAGAGAAAGATAGCCATTTCTACGTGTCAAAAAGGGGGGGAAAGGGGCAACTCTGTCCCGCCCCGCTCCCCTCACACAACAATCACACTTTTTCTCTTTTTGTGAATCATGACTCTGAGCAGATGTGTTGTGCAGCTCACGCCCTTCAGATGATGTCCAGAGAGGGTGCAGCTTCTGCACCGCAGGGTTGGGAATGAAAAACAGGAAAACACACACCTCATTTTTTTTGCTTCACGTCTGCCCAAACACAAACTGTTACACATGACACACACACACACACGCCGACTTTACTCATCTGAAAATATCGTCCAAGCTACTTCAAGAAGGACCTGAGTGAAGGTGTATAGTGAAGAGACACTGGGGTGGCGGCGGGTGAAGGAAAACTATATAAAAATATATAAAACTAAACAAAAAAAAAAAACGTTTTTTTTTGTCCCTCAACATTCCTTGATGTAAAAGAAAAATATTAAATGTCAAGACTTTTCTCTCAGATGAACTGTGATGAAGTGTTTCACAAGATCTAAGATGGATTTGTGTGTGTTTGTCCCACATGCAGCGCTCTGCTCATTATTACGACGCCACATTTTTATTTCCCAGAGAGTTAGATACAAGCACACGTTATAATTGAGTCGTCTTTGAAGTGGTCAGATGAAGAGTTCATTCCCAAATAAAGATTATAAGTAGGGAGAAAACATCGGCTGTTTATCGACTTCTGACGTCCAAAAGTCTGTCAAATATTTTACTCAGTTAAACGAGGACCTAAATTGCTTTTTAGCCTTCACTATGTTTGAATTTGTTGATAAGCCATCAGCCTCTTCATGAACTCATTCAGCTTTAAGTCTGAGCGCCTCACAAACATTTCCATTTGTTCCTCTTCAGAAATGTATAAAAAAAAAAAGAATACTGTGGTTTTTGGTGAAGCAACAAGAGATGGAAACAAGTTTATATTTTTAAATGTACGTGGACTTTGCCGCAGAGAAAACAGATATTTATCAACATGTGTGTGACCGATCGTGCTTTGCCGTCGCGGGCGAGGACTGATGGAGAACAGACGCTGCGGGTTCTGATGCGTGAACGGATGCATCCGTCCTTCCAGAGAGTTTTGTGAGATGGAGGTGGTGCCCCGTTCTGGCGCCACTACCTGCTGGGACTCTTCACTTGGGGTTTAAGAATCAGCACAGCTCTGCAGAAAGTGTTTAGATTGAAAGAGTCAATGTTGGTTTAAGGCACACGCTCTTATAATGGAACGTGTCATCGTCAATGCTGCCATTGCCATCAGTTATACGAAGAGACGCCCATTTGTTTCACTTTTGCATTACTTAATGATACAACATCTGCTTAATGTCTCAACCCCCCCCCGGGATGAAAATAACACACTCTGATTCAAGTTGGACCTCAAAGAGCTCATGGAATATGTCTCATAATATCGTCACAGCAGCACAAGAGATGTTGGATTCTGTCTGTTCACGTTCTGCAGGAAGGAAAAGAAACCGCTCAACCGGGGTTGTAAGGACTGTGTTAAAGGGACAGTACACTCAAATCACAGTCATGCAAGATATGTTTGGTTTCATTTGCCCAGGTTTTAAGATATCATTCTCTGCTGCCATCCAAATACAATAAAGATTATTGAAGTTTTACTTTGAAAACGTCTCGGGATTTTACTTTCCATACTTTGTATCTTTACATCTTTGCTTACCCGCCTGTTTTGAGTGTTATCCCTCAATATTCCTGTTACCCTGATGTTTGCTTGATATAGCCTCAAACAAGTGTTTTTAAACACTTTTACAGTGAACATTTTGAATCAATCGGTGAGTCGTCATGGATGTAATGTGTTTGGATTAAATCTTTCACTGGATTATGGATCATGGGGACGGTTGGTGATGCAGCAGGACCGTTTTTGTTGGAATATAAAGCGAAGGAGCAGGCGACTTCCAATGGTAAGAAAAAATGGATGGAGGTGGTCTGACAGATGCGTAGATTGTGGCTGCCGTGTTGGTTCAATCTTGAAATGGTTCACATGAAAAGACAAACAAAATGTGATAATGTGTTGAAATGACTAAAGATGCTAAAAGGCTCAGGTGAACCGAGGAGAACTGCACAATCTGGTTATAATTCTGACTGGTTTGAAGCTACAAGTTAGTACCCAAGCTTTTTTTCTCATGAGTTACTTATTTCATTATCTTGACAAATTAGCCTTTACATCACAAGATAACAAGACAATCAACGTGTTACAGCAGGAAAACTAAAGCTTGTTTCCTCTTATCATGAGCAGTGTTTATCATACATCAAGAATGCAAAGATGTTATCTGTGCACCTGTAGCAGCTGATTAAAGATGAAAACATCACATCAAGGACTGAATATGAAATGATTGAAGACTGAACTTCAGTCACGGTTCAGTTTGAGAGCCCTGACGATCATGACAGGGATTTTGAATTGATGAAATGAGGTACAATCAGACTCTCAATTTCAAACTCTCCGTTCGTTTTTTTTGGTGTTCTTGAAGGAAGCAAATGTCTTTTCTTGTGATAAATTAAATCTTTATCTTGCCCTGTTATCTTAAGAATGACCCTGTTATCGATAGAAAATTAGATTCAGTTTTTGTGAGAATATAGTCCAGTGCTTTGGATAATTTATCACTTAAATTTGAATTTAAAACATTCCTCAAAACTTTATTTTGTAATGTTTTATGGCGATTAGATTGTCCTCCAATTCTAAAAGCCTTTCTTTCTTCTGATGATGTGATACCAGCTGAGCCTTATCCCTGCGTCCTGATTTGTCCTGTGACTTATCAGTCGACAGGCATCCTGTGGCGAGCTCCGGCATGGTGAGGTGACTGACCGACCATGCTCCCTGATGGTCTCCACCGACAGAACCCCAGATGTGACACGTGTTACATCCTGCAGACAAAGACAACACTGTAAATGGAGATGACTTCTGGCCTGTTTTCTCGAGCAGAGAGGAGGAACATTGTTTTACTTGATTGGATATTTTTTGATCACCTGTCAAGAAGGGACTCTTGACATCCGTCCAAATTTATCTAAGTTCATGTTTATCTCTGGGTATTAAAGGAAGTATACGCTCTTTCTGAAGTAAAAGAAACAGTTTTCTGAATTGTAAATTTATGAATGTATGTTTGTATGTATGTATGTATGAATGTATATTTGTATGTATGAATGTATGTATGTATGTATGTATGAATGTATAAATGTATGAATGTATGTATGTATGTATGTATGTATGTATGTATGTATGAATGTATAAATGTATGTTTGTATGTATGTATGTATGAATGTATATTTGTATGTATGTATGAATGTATAAATATATGAATGTATGTATGTATGTATGTATGTATGTTATATCCCCAGTCTAGGGAAAACTAGACACATCCCACTCCCAAGAAATCAAACTCAGATTCAAAGCAGCTGTTTAATTGTGTTCCAGGCTCATGAACAGAAGACAAAAAGGAACAAACAAAAGGCTGTAATAGTTCTATTTACAAGCTAACTGTCACTAAATCTATCAACATCTTAATTTCTAACACATTCAGTGCTCCTTAAGTCACACACAGATCAAAGGATGATTCCCACACAAATGCTGGTTTTAATTGAAGTGGGAAGTGAAGAGTTGAGCCGACTGAAGCAGCTGAGATCAAAAAGCTGTGATGTCAGGCTCAATCCAATCAGGAACCAAGAACTCCAGTTTAATTGCTCAATCAGAGACCGTTCCTGAATCAGCACCTGATTAAAGGACACAGGCACATTCTCACAGAAACATACACACTTTAGGGTTATGTATGTAACATACATATAGACATTCATCATAAAAAACGACATACATACATTCATGGTAAAAACGACATACACATTCATCGTAAAAACAACACACATACATTCATCGTAAAAACGACATACACATTCATCGTAAAAGCGACATACATACATTCATCGTAAAAACGACATACACATTCATCGTAAAAGCGACATACATACATTCATCGTAAAAGCGACATACATACATTCATCGTAAAAACGACATACATACATTCATCGTAAAAACGACATACATACATTCATCGTAAAAGCGACATACATACATTCATCGTAAAAACGACATACACATTCATCGTAAAAGCGACATACATACATTCATCGTAAAAACGACATACATACATTCATCGTAAAAAAACGATATACACATTCATCGTAAAAACAACATACACATTCATCGTAAAAACAACACACATACATTCATCGTAAAAACGACATACACATTCATCGTAAAAGCGACATACATACATTCATCGTAAAAACGACATACACATTCATCGTAAAAGCGATATACATACATTCATCGTAAAAACGACATACATACATTCATCGTAAAAACGACATACACATTCATCGTAAAAACAACATACACATTCATCGTAAAAACAACACACATACATTCATCGTAAAAACAACATACATACATTCATCGTAAAAACGACATACACATTCATCGTAAAAACGACATACACATTCATCGTAAAAACGACATACACATTCATCGTAAAAACAACACACATATATTCATCGTAAAAACGACATACATTCATCGTAAAAACAACATACACATTCATCATAAAAACAACACACATACATTCATCGTAAAAACGACATACATTCATCGTAAAAACAACATACACATTCATCATAAAAACAACATACACATTCATCGTAAAAACGACATACATTCATCGTAAAAACGACATACATACATACATTCTTCGTAAAAACGACATACATTCATCGTAAAAACAACATACATTCATTGTAAAAACTACATACATACATTCATCGTAAAAACAACATACATTCATCGTAAAAACAACATACACATTCATTGTAAAAACGACATACATACATTCATCGTAAAAACGACATACATTCATCGTAAAAACGACATACATACATTCATCGTAAAAACGACATACATTCATCGTAAAAACGACATACATTCATCGTAAAAACAACATACACATTCATTGTAAAAACGACATACATACATTCATTGTAAAAACGACATACATACATTCATTGTAAAAACGACATACATTCATCGTAAAAACAACATACATACATTCATTGTAAAAACGACATACATACATTCATCGTAAAAACGACATACATACATTCATTGTAAAAACGACATACATTCATCGTAAAAACAACATACGACATACATACATTCATTGTAAAAACGACATCACATAGCATTGGTAAAAACCAATACATACATTCATCGTAAAAAACGACAATACATACATTCATCGTAAAAACAACATAATACCATTCATACAGTAAAAAGACATACATACATTCATCGTAAAACACATACATTCATCGTAAAAACAACATACACATTCATTGTAAAAAACAACATACATTCATCGTAAAAAACGACATACATACATTCATTCGTAAAAACAACATACATTCATCGTAAAAACAACATACACATTCATTGTAAAAACGACATACATTCATCGTAAAAACAACATACACATTCATTGTAAAAACGACATACATACATTCATCGTAAAAACGACATACATACATTCATCGTAAAAAACAACATACACATTCATTGTAAAAACGACATACATACATTCATTGCGTAAAACAACATACATCATTAATCTAAAAAACAACATACATACATTCATCGTAAAAACGACTTGCATACATTCATCGTAAAAACAACATACATAATAATTAATCTAGAAAACGACGATTCATCATTTCATAACATGTTCATACATGCATGGACTGACAAAAGACACAGAGGGAGACGGTGGAAAGTGGCTTTATATTCCAGTCAGGAAAGTGACGTAGCTTACGGCCAGAGAGTAATGTTAACGTTTCAGTAGCTGTGAGGTTTGGAGCCTGTCCGGCCTGGACGAGAGAACTGAGCGGCAGCTCTGTAAAGAAGTGGGTTGAACTATCCTTTGTGGGTCCTGGGATAGTTTTCTTCCATCCTGTTTAATAGTCACATGTATTATTACACGTAACCGGTTGGCTTGAAGTTCTGAAATGTTAATGGAGGATATGAATGGAGAAACTTACTTCCAGAACCAGAGTCACTGGAAAAGTGGGCGGTCACTGTTGAGCTCTATATCTGTATTTGTATGCATATAACATCCATATATCTGAAAAAATAGAAACATTATAATGTCTATATTGGGTTATGATAAAAAGGACTTTATCAAAAGTTTTGCTTTGTTATATTTCAGACGGAGAAAATCACCTGAGAGTTTAACTCACACATCAACACATTCCAAAGTCTGATTTTGAGCACAAACTTTAGCATCATAAACTTTAATAAACGAGACTCCAAGGTGTAAACAAAGCCAGCTCCAGTTTATGTTTCTTATAACTTACTGTGTACCTTAAGGCGAGAGAGCAGGGAGCATGTTTGTGACGCTGCTGCTGTGAAAAATATGTCTGGAAGTGAGAGAAAAAATAACGTATGTGGGTCCGGAAAATATCGAAAAAAGTGGCCAAAATGAACTTGTGTTGTTTGAAACTCACTGAGTCATCATCTCACCCACCATGTTTGTTTTTCAAAAGTAAATAGCTCAGGCCGTCATACCTTTATAAA